TCACTCTGTCGCCCAGGCTGGAGTGCAGTGGCCCGATCTCAGCTCACTGCAAGCTCCGCCTCCCGGGTTCACACCATTCTCCTGCCTCAGCCTCCCGAGTAGCTGGGACTACAGGCGCCCGCCACCTCGCCCGGCTCGTTTTTTGTATTATTTTTAGTAGAGACGGGGTTTCACTGTGTTAGCCAGGAAGGTCTCGATCTCCTTACCTCGTGATCCGCCCATCTCGGCCTCCCAAAGTGCTGGGATTACAGGCTTGAGCCACCGCGCCCGGCCGAAAAATTCATTTTTAATTGATGTTTACATAGTATGTCTTTTTCTACTTTTTTATTTTCAGCCTTTCCATACATTGTCTTTAAGGCATGTATCTTATTTGCAATATACATTTGGTATTTCCTTTTAAATTTTATTTTATTGGTCTGACAAGCTTGTCTTTTAATTGGGGTATTTGGTATATTTATCTCCAATGTAAAAAAAAATGTGGGTTTAAATCTAATATCTAATATTATTCAATTTCTCTTTCTGTTTGCCATGTTTTGAGGATTAATTAAGTATATATTTTAATTCTATTTTATCTTTGTTAGCTTTCTTTAATTAATTTATTTATTTAATTTTATTTTTTTGAGACGGAGTTTCACTCTTGTTGCCCAGGCTGGAGTGCAATGGTGCAATCTCAGCTCACTGCAACCTCTGACTCCCAGGTTCAAGTGATTCTCCTGCTTCAGCCTCCCAAGTAGCTGGGATTACAGGTGGCCGCTACCATGCCTGGCTAATTTTTGTGTTTTTAGTAGAGACGGGGTTGGCTAGGCTGGTCTCAGACTCCTGACCTCAGGTGATCCATCTGACTTCGGCCTCCTAAAGTGCTGGGATTACAAGCATGAGCTACCACACCCAGCCTATCCTTGTTAGCTTTCTAGTTAAACACTCTTTGACTGATCTTGTAGGCCTCACTATAAATTACGGCATGCATCCTTAACTTACTAAACTTTTAGCATAGATTAGTACTTTTATCAATTGCTGGACCTTAAATTATGTGAACTCCATTTATTGTTCCCTCTCCTGCAGTTTTGGCTGTTTTCTACATTTATTTATTATATATTTTACCCTGCACAAGGCATTATTATTGCTCTTTGAGAAACACAAGCTTTCTTTAATCACCCACAGATTTATATTTTCCATTGCTCTTTCTTCCTTCTAACATCTGCCAGTTTCCATCTGAGATCATATTTCTTCTGTCTGGAGCTCTTCACTGTTACAAGTCTGTTGCCAACGGAAAAACATTTTGAAAATACCTTCCTTTTGCCTTCATTTTTGAAGGTGATTTTCACTGGGTAAAGGTATTGAAATAGGCTCCTTGAAACGCTTTGAAGATATGCTACTGTGTTCTGGTTTCTGTTATTTCTGTTGAAGAGTAAGTTAGTCATTTGAAAGTAATGCCTTTTATTTTAAGCTGCTTTTTAGAGTTTTCTCATTGTATTTGGTTTTTCAGCAATTTGACTATGGTAGGCCTAGATATGGTTTTCTTTGTATTTATTTTATGCAGAGTTTATAAGGCATCTTGTCTGTGCTTGACATCTTATAATTGATTTAAGCTAACTCCGCCAACTCTTCTTTTCTTCTCTTTTCTTTTCTTTTCTTGAGACAGAGTCTTGCTCTGTTGCCAGGCTAGAGTGCTGTGGCACAATCTTGGCTCAATGCAACCTCTGCCTCCCGGGTTCAAGCGATTCTCCTGCCTCAGCCTCCAGCGTAGCTGGGACTACAGGCATGTACCACCAAACCCAGCTAATTTTTGTATTTTTAGTAGAGACAGGGTTTCACCATATTGGCCAGGATGGTCTCGATTTCTTGATCTCGTAATCTACCGACCTCAGCCTCCCAGAGTGTTGAGATTACAGGCGTGAGACACTGCACCCTGCCTGATTTAAGCTAACTCTTAAATATGATTCCTTCATATATTGTTTCAGCTCAATTATTTCTCTTTCTTCAGGGTCCCAGCTGATCTTTTTAGTTTCAAGCTTCTGATATTGTGTTTTTCAGTTTTAGAATTTCCATTTGATTTCTTTAAAGATTCACATTTTCTACTGACATCTCCATTTGTCCTGAAAGCATATTGCTTATAGTTAAAGTTGCACCTGATAGCTGCAATATATTGATCTACTATGGTTCTGTTTCTATTGTCTTTTTTCTCTCTGTCCTCAGTCATTTGGCCTTTTCTCTTAGTATGCCTGGTAACTTCTGCTGTCATGACAACTATTTGCTATTTAAAAAACTGTGGAGAAAATTTGAGTGTCCAGATTTTGTGAACTTCTATGGAGAATATTTACTTTTGCTTCTGGCAGGCAGTTAATATAGTGGCTGATAGTTGTAACCAAAATAGCGTTTTGTTTGTTTGGTGGCTGCTTTTCAGTGTTTTTGAGAGCTAGCCTATTTTGCTTAGTTCTTACTCTTAGGCTGCAGCCCTTCAGATGTCCCATCTGAAATCCTGGGTGTTTACCAGAATCCCAGGTAGACACCCAGGATTTCAGATGGGACATCTGAAGGGCTGCAGCCTAGGAGTAAGAATGAAGCATCCTATCATTCCACTTCATGGTGTGCTTTGAACACGAACTTTTGTCTTTGAGATAGCCAAGACTGTGTTCAGTAGCTGCCTGAAAAGCAGGAAATGCCTTGAAGGAAATGCAGAGGAGACTGTCAGCCTCATGTTCTCTTGTAGATCATGACTCTAAGTTGTTGCTATGTTGATAGATCTTTAATGCTTCCAAGAGATTATCTATCTAATCAGCTTTCATAGTTGTTTTGTGGGAGCAGGAAGAGTTATGCTGATGATAGCTGGTCTATCATAGTTGTAGAAGGAGTTGTAAAGTTTACATTTTTTTTTTTTTTTTTTGAGACAGAGTCTCTATCGCTCAGGCTGGAGTGCAGTGGCGTGATCTCGGCTCACTGCCACCTCCACCTCCTAGGTTCACACCATTTTCCTGCCTCAGCCTCCCGAGTAGCTGGGACTACAAGGCGCCCACCACTATGCCCGGCTAATATTTTTTGTATTTTTAGTAAGGACGAAGTTTCACCATGTTAGCCAGGATTGTCTCCATCTCCTGACCTCATGATCCGCCCGCCTCGGCTTCCCAAAGTGCTAGGATTACAGGTGTGAGCCACCATGCCTAGCCGAAACTTATCAGATTTTTAAAATAAGTCGTTTTAAATTTATAATGTACTTTTGAGAAAAATTCATAGCAATAATTTTACTAGTTAGAGACTATTACAGTATGTTTATACACTAAGTTATAAAAGTCTGGAAACTTTTTGAGACCATGGGTCATGTTTAATTAATTTTTATGTCCTAAGTAAGTGCTTAATGTCATTTTAAAAGCAGAACAGATGTGAATATAAGTACTCTAGGAATTCAGAGGAGAAAGAAAGGATTGTGTAAACTACAGCATCCATTTAAAATCATCCAGTTTAAAATCATGAAGGATTTCTTGGTGGATGTATAAAGTTTGGAAAGGTTGAGGAGTAAAAAGTAAGTTAAGTCGTAAAAGAAAACATGTTCCATCTCTTAAGGCAAAGTTCAAAGATATAGGGGACGATAAGGATACCAGCTTATCTATAATAAAAACATTTGTTTAGGGAGTAAGTACTAAATGGATAGATTGGAGCCATGTTGTAGAAAATGATAAATATTGGGTTGTAGGAAATGATAAATATTGGGTTGTAGGATATTGATACTTTTTCTATGGGCAAAAGAGTCTTTTTGAGTACTTCCATGGAATGTTGGATGTTGAATGAATGAAATTAAACCAAAAAAGAAATAAATAAAAAGGACATTGAAGCTTGAGAAATACTGGTTTAAAGAGATTTGCTTACAGTAAAACTTCTTTGAATCTTTAAAGTGTGCATTGTATATTTCCAAAGTTGCTTCAACGTAGCACACTTTTGCTTATAAAGAAACAGTGTTCTTGGAACATACTTTGGAAAATTGGTATATGTGGGCATTGAGGAAAGACTGACTAGAATATTATACTAACATATAAAGTCTGTGAAAGCTGGAGCTTCTTGATACTGTTCACAGTTCTACCAGTTGTACTAGGAGGATTACCTAGCAAAGATATGTTCTCAATATATATTAAGTGAGTTGGCTTTAGTGGATGAAAATAAATTGGATAAGCATGAAATTCATTTAAAATTTTTTTTTAGTGAGAATAATCTGATGATATAGTACAGATGAATTTTAGGGAAAATAGGCTAGAAGCTTAAGTCCAAGAAAATAAACTTTTAAAGTTGTCCAGACCTAAGATTTGTTCTTGGACTGTGGTGACATCCTTGAAAATGGGAAATAAAATGGATAACAGTGATATTTTTTAAAACGAATTGATAAGATTTGGTAATAGATTAGATGGAACTTCTCAAGGCACTCAAAGAATTTGAATAGCTTTGAGTCACTGTAGGGAAGAAGAAATTTCTTTGTACAAGACTTCGTTCTGTTTTCTTCATGTAGCCTAAAGATCTTCATGTAGCCTAAAGGGTCATGAAAGAATTATTTAATTTCATGAAGTCTTACCTTTTGTTTGAAAACTTTTTGTGTAGAAAAAGATCACCAGTTTTCAAACGGTAATTGGGAGAGAGGTTGAATGAAAAATACAGAAAAGTATTTACAATACCATGCTGAGTTTTATGATCAAGAGTAAATATATTGTATAGATTCTGACTTAGCCCATAGAGCATCTTTTCTTTCAGCACAATAATTTTATGAAATATACATATAAAGAATTTTAACTAAAACATTTTAAATTTATCTTAATGAAGGTTGGGTAACTATTTTGAGCTACATCTTTTCCAAAATAAAGCAGAGCGTTATAGGATTATCAACAAGTAGAACTTGGATTTGAGGAATGAATGGACTGTGAGATTGGAAATGTCAGTTCTGTCTAGTCCACACATATCTAGAGTAAAACCTAGTCAAACCTAGACTGTCACTGTCACCACCGATGTCTGATCAACCCTACCAAGGCCCAAGGGCTTTCTCCCTTAGAAGCTTTCTCCCTCAGAAGAGACAATGGGGTAGAATGGAAGCAGCCCAGACTTCAGATTCATCTACTTAGTTTTAAATCCCATGAAGAATTAGTTGCTTCTTACCTATTAGTCTACTTCTTCCTAAAATAGGAATAGTAATTATCTCATAATATGGTAATGAGGATTAAATAAAATATAAAATAACTAGTACTATAGGCACTATGCATACATGAATACATCAATGAGTGAAGACTGTGTTGTATTCCCTTAAATGCAACTCCTTTATATCAATGAGATTTGCTTTCCATCTAAAAAATCACGTGTCCATCAGTAATGCATCTACGGATCTTGGGAAATGGTACATTTGTGTTGATGGCAATTAGGAACAATAATAATATTGGTGCCATAATGACTATCAGAATAATATTCAAAAATATTTTCATAGGTTTTTCATGTAAGCTGTGGTAGTTATGAAATGTTTGGTGGCGTTAGAAAAAAATTGTTCTTGATAGAAAGTTGTAAGTTTGTAGATAATATTATCAAGAAACAGAATAAAGTAAATCTACATAGCAAAACATGATTTTCATTAATTGTAACTAACATTTCTTTTCCATTATAACAGTGAGAAGAAGCTCATTACAGACGCCCTTAATAAAAATCAGTTTCTGAAAAGACTGGATCCTCAGCAGATCAAAGACATGGTGGAATGCATGTATGGGAGAAACTATCAGCAAGGGAGTTACATTATTAAGCAAGGAGAACCAGGAAACCATATCTTTGTGCTGGCAGGTGGGTGTCACAGATTTTTCCGGTTATTATATAATAAATATTTTGCCTGTTGTGATTTTTTGCAGGCATTTATAAAAACGTAAAACTAGTTGCTGTATTTGTAGAAAACATAACATACTGAATTCATGAAATAGCAGGATTGTTGATCTGATCATAATGATGGTAATACTTAATATGTGCTGAAAGATTTCTATATATCAGGCATCCTATTGAGCAGTTGATAGAGAGATCTCATTTTATCTTCTCACCAACCCTGTAAGGCAAGTTCTATTTTCTCCATGTTTCTAATGTCGACTGTGTCTTAGGGAGGGTAACGCCAAACAGCTCGTAAGCAGTGGAGGTAAAATGCACACTTAGGCAATTTGACTTAAGAATCCGCACGTCTAATCTCAATACCACTCACTCAAAAGTGTTTTTATTCAAAATACTGCTGCTGAAGTTAACATTTTAAGATAATGCACCAGGAAAAAAGAAAACAATTATTATTGTGGCTCTGGAAAAATTTTGGTTTTATACCAATAATTTTAAAAGGTAATTTAGGTAACTTTGACCAACACACAAATCAAATGACACATCTTACAATTAAAACTGGTGTTTTTAGAATCATTTAAATGGTTTCCTTCGTCTGTGGTAATTTGAACATGCTTACATGTCAGGAAGATTGTAATGGTTAGATAGGCAAATTTTTGTAATGTATAGATCTTATAATGACTACTCAAATTTTTTCTCTTTTATATATAGCAGCAAAAAATTGTGTGAACAGGGATTAAAGTTATAGAACATTTTGTCACATTCTGGCACAACTTTCTGAGTTTTAGGGAAAAAAGTTAAAACTGGCTTACCCAGAAGGAATGATGAATGGAGGTATGTTTTCTATTTAGCATTGTAGTTCCTGATAATCTAACTAATGCTTTTATTCTTGTTCCTTTGGGGCCTTAAGTGTGAGGCAGAAGTTGTCTATCTAAATAAATTAATAAACATGTATTATTCTATTTATGGTATATAAAAGATTGTTTTATGTACTTTGATTATTTGAACATGCCAATTTTATTATTATTTGCCATGTATATCTTTGTAGGCAGCTTTAAAATTATACAGTCATTCCCAAGTAATCATTCTACTTAATTAATGAGCTATAGTCTTAATTTAGCTAGCCTTGAAATTTTTAGGGACAACTTTTCCGTCTTGCAACTTTTCTCTTAGCCATTTTAACTTCTGCTTTAGCAACACTAGAGTATTGCAGCAAGAGAGGATGGGTCATTAAGTCAACAAATATTTATGAAACCTCCTAGGAGAGGATGAGAAACTGATGTTAGTCTAACTCATTCCTTCCCAAGTAGTTCTAATGAAAGGCTCAGGGAGAGAAGAGGTTGAACAGCAGTCAGTATCAAAACAGCTATTGAGATCAGGGTTGTGGCACATATGGAAATTAAAATTGGATGGTTTCTTATTTGAATTAATTACAGTGTCACCCAAGGATTGAATTGCCTGGTTTAATTATCTGGTTGGGCAAATTAATTTGATAATTAAAAATATTCTCTTTATGAAACATAGCATGAATAGCAAATAGTAAAAGCATATTTAGCTTAAACTTTTGATATTCCATATAATTCTTCAGCATTGCTTAGGTACCATGAGCCTTAACCAATTTCAAGATAAAAACTTGAAATGCATTAAGATTCTTGATATCAATTGGACACTACCACTAAGTGGCTTTGAAAGAATAGCTAATGAGAAATTTTAAATTGCACGTCTAACCTGTAGGATTTGGAGCCAAAACTGAGTGTTTTTTTTTTCTTGCTAATATCAATTCTATCAGACTAAGTATATTTTCTCTTTTGTCCGCTCTATGGCTCTGGCACTTGGAACAGTTCCCAGCACAACATAGGTACTCAGATCAGTTTTGCTGAATGGATGGGTGGACAGAGATGATCCAGAGCTCCTTAGCAGTGAATTAGGAAAAGGAAAGACTAATTCTTTAAGGAAAGGAGACATTGGCCCACCATTTTGTTTTTCCTCTAAGAACTTAGATCTTTTTTGCTTATGCTTTTAGTTGGTTAAGGTTTTGTTTGTATTTGTTCAAAGCAAAAGAAGAGTAAAGCTACCAAGGCAAGAAAAAAAAAAAAAAAAAGTGAAGGGGATACAAAGTTCTGCCTCTCCCTTCCTCCAGTCTTTGCCTAGGTAATGATAAGTGCCAAACACTCTTCTTAGTGATTTTCATTTGTAACTAATATGTGTTACATTTAAATAAATGAGAAGTTAGATAACAGTTGAGGCACCATGAAGTAACTTGCCCAAGGTCGCATAGGCAAAAATGAGTTGAATCAGGACACAACCAGGCAGTCTGATCCCAGGGCCAATCTACTTACTAGTTATGACGGGTTGTCATTCCATCAGTGTGAACAACTGCTCTGTGTTTTTAAGACATACAGTGATTGTTGAGCTCCTCAATACAATACATGAAAATAGTTTCATGTATTACATTTCTCATAGGTTATAATGAATTTTAAACAAAACACTTGCCATCCACTGCTTCAGGAACAGAACATTGTAAAAATAATAATATTAATAATAGCTAACACAGTATTTACTATGCACTAGCCATTGTTCTAAACGCTTTACCTAGATTAACTTACTTCATTCTCACCACTGTAAAATAATAATAATTATTATTATTATTATCCTCATTGTCAATGAGGAACTTCAGACAGATAAAGTTTCTCAAGGCAACCCAGCTAATAGTAAGTGGCAGAGGTGATTTCGGTCTGCACTTTTAACCAGTATATTATAATGAGAATCATAAAATATCTTACCTGTATACTTTGTGTGCTTTATGATTATTTTATTTTTCTAATTTATAGTATCTGCATGGATTTTGATTATTTGTGTGTGTTTTTTTAAAAATTCTACTTGATAGAGGGTCGACTAGAGGTGTTTCAAGGGGAGAAATTGCTGTCCTCCATCCCTATGTGGACTACATTTGGGGAGCTTGCCATTTTATACAACTGTACAAGGACTGCCTCTGTGAAAGGTAATAAAAGAGGAAATGCTCCATTTTTGGACTGTTGTGGCATGTTAAAGATAATCCAGTTCAGTCACATTTGCACCCTGATCCAGAGTCTTTTTGTTTCCCATTTTACCCTACATGTTCTTAAAATAGAAATGCTATGCCTATTAAGGAATTCATATTGAAGCACTTACCTATATAATTTAAGCTAAAAAGAACTTTTCTGGATACCTGTGTATAAAATGTAAAATGGCTTTTAACTGTTCACAATAGTAAAGACATGGAATCAAGCCAAATGACCATCAGTGATAGACTGGGTAAAGAAAATGTGATATGTATACATTATGGAATGCTACATAGCCATAAAAAGGAACAAGACTATGTCCTTTGCACAGACATAGATGGAACTGGAAGCCATTATCCTCAGCAAACTAACACAGGAACAGAAAACCAAACACTGAACGCTCTCACTTATAAGTGGGAGTTGATCAATGAGAACACATGGACACAGGGAGGGGAACAACACACACTGGAGCCCAACGGGGAGGGGTTGGGGAGGGAGAGCATCAGGATAAACAGCTAATGTATGCGGGGCTAAATACCTAAGTGTTAGGTTGATAGTCACAGCAAATCACCACAGTACACGTTTATCTATGGAACAAACCTGCATGTCCTGCACATGTATCCTGGAAATTAAAATTAAATTAAATTAAAAATAAAAATAAAAAGGTTTGTTCTGCCAAAAACAGTGGCTTTAAGGTGACTGATTCCAATATTTGCTTTAATTGCCACTTTACATTTTACTACCTAGACACATACCTTTGGCTTGTCCAGAATGTTTGCTTTCTAGCTGGTCTCAGCGAGATTCTGACCATATTATAAGCCAGAGAAATTGATTAAACCAACAAAAATGTATCTGTGTCAAAAGGAATATGAATTAGAGTAATTAGAGTTTTCATGAATGACTTTTGGGATTACTTTATTTGCTTTTCTTTAGATTTATGTTTTATTGACTTTACGGCAAACTTGGGTTTCCTTCTGAATTACATAGATATGATGTTTTTCAGTGTTTGGGACTGGGTTATACGCATTAGCCTTGCTGAGGTATTTGATAAAAATGCAGGTTCTGGGTCTCTACTCCCAACCTGAATCAGAGTCTCTGGCAGTAGAGCCCAGGGAGCTTGTATTTCTTACAAGAATATCAAGATGATTCCAATTTAAAGTTTGGTAATCCAGAGCTTTGGGTTTTGATCAATTTTAGAGGCTTTGTTTACTGTTTTTTAAAAAATTGTACAACCATAATTTCATCTAGATTTTTTAGAGCCACCACTTCTGCCCCACTTTCTTTTTAAATTTTATACTTGCCCTTAAGGCTTTCCCATAAAAAAATTGTTTCAAAAACTTTCTTTCATAGTCTGTTTCAAATAATTTGTAGGCATTTTACACAAAAGTAACTGTAGATATTCTTAATATGTAGCTTCTTTAGCAACAGTGTCAGAACAACGTAAGAAGAAACATAGAAACACACACATACACACAGATATCTTTAACTTTCAATTATCTGTTTGTGACTTCACTCTCCAGATTAGCTACAAATTGACTGCCTTTCTCTTGTATCACAGCACGAATCTAGGGCACATCCTGATGATCTAGTGATAATTGGGAATTGCAAACTAATTTGAATGTCATCCTAACTGTAACATAATTAGAAAGGAAATTTTTTGCTAGTCATTTCCAAATAATGGTGTATTTCAGTGCCAAATGATTTATAAAATTGCTTGCTATTTATTTTGCTGTCTCCTTCATTTGTATGGTTAAATAATGCATTTTCCAAGAAATACCATTTTATAAGAACATATAACAAATCCATCGATTTATATTATGGAATATTTTCACAATGTGGTACTAAATGTTTTATTGTTTTCTTGATTTTTCTAAAGCTATTACCAATGTTAAAACATGGGCACTAGATCGAGAGGTATTCCAGAATATAATGAGGAGAACAGCCCAAGCTAGAGATGAACAATACAGAAACTTCCTCAGAAGGTAAGAATAGTACATTGGGAGACAGTGAAGACAATGGAGTTGCCATATTGTTAATATATTGGTTTTATCAGAATAATTATTTTACTATAGCTACTTCCATGTAAGCATTTTCCACATGACTAAACCAAAGGAACATTGCTTGCAGTAAATGCTAGTGCATACCAAAAAACCATATTTAATTTCCATTATCCTTGTATACTCATTTACTTCTCCTGCTAGTTTTTGCCCTTGCATTGATGGAGTGATAGTGTACAGCTTAGAAAAATGTGCAAAAAACCTAAACTATTATTTGGGTTGCTTGTTGGCTTTGAAAGGCATTTGAAATTTGAAAGTGGTTAGCCAAAAGACAAGCTTTCTAAAAGTACTTTGCTTAGAATGGTATTAAAATTAATTTTTACTCTCCTTATTTGTTTTACCTGAGACGTTGTATTTGCCTAGTCACACCATCTTCCAAATTCCTATTATTTGTAGCAAATTGACTTGCTAAAAATGTTGCTATACTTGTCATGATGACTTGGAACATACTCATTTTGTGAACTGTTCTGTACCTCAACAACTTGGATGAATCAATTTATAAGGAAAAAATGGTCTATGTAAGTGAAAGAAACTATTCCACATTAAAACTTTATTTGGAAGTATAAGTTATTTAAACAATTTCTGTATCTTTAGTGGGAGTTTTGCAAGTTTCTGAAGCTGCAATACATTCTATAATGAAATATCATCTATGATATGTAATAATAATAATGATAATAATGTATCACATGATTTCTAAAAATAAATTATAAGTTCTTCTTATGGTGATTTTTTCTAGCATAAGAATCCTTCA